AAAAAAAAAAAAAAAGAAAGTGCCAAGGGCATTCATGGAGGGGCTTCATGGAACCTGTGACACTGGAAGGGCCTTTGAAGGGGAGGGCAGGGGGCGAGGTGCACAGAAACCTCAAGGAGAGAAATAGACACAGGCAGGAGTATAAGGTCAGCAAGGTGCCTTGTGTCCAGTAGGCTGAGGGATCAGCCTTACTTAGCTTGGCTGAAGCAGAGTGTAGGGAGAAAAGTGAAAGATAAGAGTCTAACTAGTGTGTGGGGGGCTGTGGGAGTGAGTGGACATTTATGGAGGGCTTCAAATGCCAGAAGGAGCTGTTTGTTACCCAGCAATAGCAGACTGTTGCGACTCTGCTGAACCTGCGTGTCCTTAGCAGCTACCTACTTGACAAGTAGTGTGGATCAAAAGGGGCCTTGTCTGTGAGAGCTCTGTGCATGCTTTTAAGTTTTCCAAAGCATTAGTTGTTTGTACATTTATGTTATGAATTTCCTCTTGTATCACCATCATGATGGACATACTAGATTACAGTACACCCCATGAAAAGCCGACCAGAATCTTGACAAAGGCACAACCTTGGCTTAATGCTGGTGTTTCTCCCTGGTTCCAGCATGGCATGGGCGTTCCTTCTATGTCCATCATGTTGCATGAACTCATCAAGCTGCTGTACCACGCCAGGTGCTCCAACGTCACTGTCATCCGCATTGGCACTTCCGGTGGGATAGGTAAGGTCTGCAGAGGAACCTTCTGCCCTGTAACTAGATATAGGGCCGGGGCCTCCTGGTGCAGCTCCAACATGGTATGGGCTTGGGGACAAAGATTTCCTTCCTTGGCTTTGACCAAGGCAAGTTTGCTAACAGGAGGTGTGAACAGAAACTTGTTTTGCAATTTTTTTGTCCAACCTCTCCTCCCAACCTTCACCCCAGAGGTAAGTAGCAGAAGGTGCTGTGCCATGCATATGCAGAAACTCATCCTCTGGGATGCACATGTTGTGTCTTCTTGTGCGCTTGACTCTTTTTATTCTTTCTAACTCCCCTTTTCTCTATTTTCTTCTTTCCTTTGCTCACTTCTCCCTCCCTATTCCTACAAAGATCTGAAGCATCTTATAGGAAAACCTACAGGAAAATCAAAGGGGGAAGAGAGATGGAATACAAAATAAAGATAAGTGTTCCAAAACTGGTCAACATGTCCCAGCCTTCAATATGATTTTAAAAAACAAGATGGCAATGAAAGAAAGGAATATGTTGAGAAAGCAAAATGCTGAAACATGGTTGAATTGTAAGGCAAAGTTTGTTAGGCAAATTTGTTTGAAACAAGTTGCCCTGCTCTCTGAGGTCCCAATTCTGTGCCAGAATTTCTGTCAAAAACTGGGTTCTAGCAGCGCTTGCTCCCGTTGAGGTGTTCAGAACTCATGGACAAAACCTGTGTTTGTTCAAGAGCAAGTTTAACCTTGTTCTTGAATCTGGTATGCATTTGCTTCTGACTGTCTGTCCTTGTTCTGTCCTAGATTTATAGCAATTCTAGAATTTAGATATTTCTACTTTAAAGGGGACCTGCTTTGAACTCCACATTTTCTGATTACATCACCTTATTTTTCCTTGTGTCATATAGAGAGGTTGACATGATTGCGTGATTATAATTCCAAGCATAAAGAAGTTGTTCCCAGGAAAGCATACCAGTGGCCATGCGCTGTCTTCATCCTGCAGACTTCATCTCAAACAGCACCAGCCAGACACACTCATGGCTGTGCATACCACACCCATGTCTGCCGGGAACTATAGCATGTAGTTCTTGAGCTCTTGCTTCAGAAGAATTTTTTAAAACTGATGATCAGAAAGAATTCTGCAGGGAATAGCATAGATTTTGAGTCTCACTAAATTGCCCCATGAACATGGAAAGAGCAACGAGAAAGCAAAACCCCCAGCCCCTGGACACCATTGATAACAAAATGTGAAACGGTATCCCCACAAATCCCAAAATACGCATGGGTGGACAAGTAGTGCAGGATCTGGGCCATGTCACCAGCTGCTTGGGAGGAAACTCAGGGTGGCTGACAGACCTGAGAATAAAAGAATCCCAGAAGAGCCACCAGGTATTCCTAGGAAGGTGTGGGGAATGTGGTGAGCATGGCAGCAGGCTCTGGAGGGGATCTGCACGTCCCAGTGGGAGGGCGACCTTGGCATCCCAAGGGGCTGGGACACCCAGGCCCTGGGGATTACAGGGTATTGGCTGAGCTCTCCTCCAGCTCCAGTCTCAGTGCTGGGAGAAGCCCCTTGCAAGGGGACTGGGAATTGCTTGGAACAGCGACAGGAGCGGCGAGTGAAAGAGAAAGTTCAGGTGAATAGGAGTGGCCAGAAGGCCTTGGCAGTTGGCGGTGCTTCTTAATGTTTCATGAAAATCACTGACTTGGGAGCTCTTGAAAAGATCGTCTGATGTTTCGTTTCTTCTTACATTCTTAAGAAGACCAATTTTTGCGTTAAAATAAGCATTAGGAAAAAAATATGGCTATCTTTGCTTGTTCGGGTTGCCATAGCAAAGATATCACAGACTGAGCGACTTATAAACAAAAAGGATTTATTTCTTACAGTTCTGGAGACTGGGAGTCCAAGTTCAAGGCTCCAGCACATTCAGTGTCTGGTGAGGGCCCACTCTTACTGGTTCACAAATGGCTGTGTCCTTACATGGTGGAAGTGGTGAAGGGTCTCTCTGGGGCACCTTTTATAAGGACACTAAATCCCATTCATGGGGGCTCTGCTCTCCAATCTAATCACCTCCCAAAGGCCCCACCTTCTAATATCACCTTGAGGGAGGATTTCAACACCTGTATTTTGGGTGAACACACACACTCAGTCCATAACAGTGGCCAAATTCCATATGAAGTTATTATAACACAAAAGAATAAGGAGCAGAATAATGTCTCTACAAACATGAAAATGCTCCAGGAAGGTATGCCCAGAAAACATAAACTGGAATCTAATAGTGCATCAATTCTACAGGAAAATCAGGTTGGTCAGGAGCTGGCAGTTGCTAGGCTGGGTTTGGGGCGTGGGGAGGTTGGTTGTACTAGTCTAGTCTGCCTTTTGGTTGTTTACTTTTCAAGTATTTGCTTGAAATCTAAAATAATAAAAAGGCACAAACCAGGGATCAATTAAGCACATCATGGTAACCAGTGTGGTGGAGTGACAGATCGCAGTGGAAAATAGCAAAGACTGGAAGCCACAGACACATGGGACAAAGGACCAGGGGTTCCCAGCAATTTCTATTTTCTACTTTGTGCTTTTTTTCTCCCCTAGGGTTCACAATGATTTTTTAATTTTTAAATTTTTTTTAGATAGAGTCTCGCTCTGTTGTGTTGTCCAGGCTGCAGTGCAGTGGCATGATCAACCCATTGCAGCCTTGAGCTCCTGGGCTCAAGCAATCCTGCCTCAGCCTCCCAAGAAGCAAGGACTATGCCATCACATGCCATCACGCCTAGCTAATTTTTGTATTTTTTTGTATTTCTTTTTTTTGTTTTTTGTAGATACAGGGTCTCACTATGTTCTAGGTCCCAAATTCCTAGCGTCAAGCGATCTTCCCGCCTTGGCCTCCCAAAGTGCCATGTGGTGTGAGCCACTGCGCCTGGCCCAATGATCATGTATCAATTGCTTTTATAGTCTGAAAACACTTTCAACGGGAAGACGGATTTTCGTGTATTTTAGAACAGTGCTGGATGCTGCAGGTGTTGGTGCCTCCATGGACCACCTTGTTTTCTCTCTGGGATTTGCTGTGCACTCCTGGTCAGCCCTGTGAAGTCTCCACATCTGCTCTTTTCTTCAGGTCTGGAGCCCGGCTCTGTGGTCATAACGCGGCAGGCCGTGGATGCCTGCTTCAAGCCAGAGTTGGAGCAGATGGTCCTGGGCAAGCGAGTGGTCCGGAGCACGGACCTGGACCAGCAGCTGGTGCAGGAGCTGATGCAGTGTTCTACAGAACTAGGCGAGTTCACCACAGTTGTGGGAAATACCATGTGCACCATGGACTTCTATGAAGGTGAGTTGATGGGTAGGAGGAGACACCTTTCTGCTGGGGAGCCCTGGTCTGTCACCTCAACCTGCCTTCCTCACCACAAGCTCTGTTTCCACATGCCAGATTGCTGTCTCAGGGGCAACTCTTGCACAGTGGTGACCATGGCCTGTTTGAGTGGACAGGGTCAGGATCTGACCTGGAGGGGTCTCCCCTTTCTCTATGTCCCCGTGGGCCACATGAGGCTGGCATGCAATAGGAACTTACTGCATGAGTGTAGTTCTCACTTTTTCTCTACATTTGCTTCAGGTCAGGGTCGTCTGGATGGTGCTCTCTGCTCCTATACGGAGAAGGACAAACAGGCATATCTGCAGGCGGCCTACGCTGCTGGCATCCGGAACATCGAGATGGAATCTTCGGTGTTCGCCGCCATGTGCAGCGCCTGTGGCCTCCGAGGTAGGCGGTACTTGATGGGTCTCAGCACCCCCTCCTCCCTCTGTCTTTGCTGGTTCAGCCTGGAGCCCCTCCCTGGGGATCCTCCTCCTGGGGCAACCCAGTGCCCGTTCCTGGTTTCTGACCACCCTGCCCCCAAGTCAGTTTCTGGCAGGTGACATCCTGGCACTCCTGTGCTCAGAATCCTTTGGTTGTTACGCAGCAAGATGCAGGATTCTCGGTGTCCCTGCAGTGACTCCCGATGCCACTGAGTGGGTAAGAAAGATGATAAAAGACCCGCTCCAACTCAGATCAGGTTTTGCTGCCCAGTGGGGTTGCCACCCACCCTACAAAGGACTTGGCTTTCAAAGCTCTTTGGCATTCGGAGTTGTCGTTGACCACCCCCAAGTTCCTAGCACCCTCCAAGGCCAACTCTGCAGAATTCCCAGCATCCCTAGCACCTCCACCAAAATGTGCCTTTCAAGGTGGTACTTGTGGCCCCAAGCTGGTCCTGGAATTGGCTTGGGGATTTCCTTTGGGAGCCAACGGAAGAAGAGTAAGAGAGAAACAGGGCAGGGTGGTGTCAGAGAGGTAGGACCCCTCCTCCCAGGCCTGGACCCAGCACCCTTCCCTCCTGTGCTTCACCTACCAACCCTCTGCTGTCTGAATGGCCTACCCAGTTTCCTGAGCAGCAGGGGAGACTGATTCTTGGGGCTTGCTGCCCCTTTTTTCCATCTCTGTGAGCTGAGTCAGAGATCTGGCACCTCGCCCTAACGTGGTCTCTGCTCTCTGCAGCGGCTGTGGTGTGCGTCGCCCTCCTGAACCGCCTGGAAGGGGACCAGATCAGCAGCGCTCACGAGGTGCTCGTTGAATACCAGGAGAGGCCACAGCGGCTGGTGGGCTACTTCATCAAGAAGCGCCTTGGCAAGGCCTGAGGTCTCGTTCTGAGCCTTTGAGGACGGCCGCTGTAACTGCTTGCCAATAAAGTCGTGGTGCAAAACCCCCTCTGTGTGACCTTGAGCACATTTTATGAAAGAATCTAGAAAAATGGATTGCAGAGAAGAGGCAGAGAATCCTGGATTAACACACATTGGAGATTTTTTTAAAAAAAAACCTCATTAGAGCATTTCAACTGTGTTAGCTGGCTTTGGGGTTTCTTCAATAACATTCTGCTAAATATTTGAACTATGTCTAGGGAGAATGTTTAGATTTTAAATTCAGATGGTCGGATTTTATGTCACTGAAAAAGAAATCTGATAATAGTGCTCGAAAACTCATTTCCTGGTGTGTTTTAAACATTCCATATACCACTTGCAATGAGAGACTACTGAAAACCAAAGAAGCAGACAGATGTTTGAGTAATAAATGCATACCTAAGTATGCACATGTATACAGTTCCAAGTTATATGCAGGTCAATTTCTGGACCTGTCTACATCAATTTAAGGGTACTACAATACTTCTCCCATCCATTCTCCACACTGCTAGTGCTAGAGGGGTCCGGTTCCAAGTACCTGTGGATGGGACGATATGCCTGGGTCCAAGACAGGCTGTCCCGTGGTGCCTGCCCATATTATGTCAGCCTCACATCCATTTCTGGCCCCCCACTGACATTCTCAGGCTCCATGTTCCTTAGATTTCTTCTGGGTCCAATCTTTGAGATGAAGGTGGATGAGAGGGAGAATTCGGGGTGACCCCTCCCTCTGGCTCTGGTAATTCTCCCTCTGTCTCTGGCACCTGCTTCCGGGGCAGACCTGGGTCCCCAGCTCAGGGGCAGGTGGGTCTTGGGGCCTTGTACACCTCGTTGACTTCTCATCTCTTCCCGTATCAGCATGGCCCCTTTCTGGCATTACATTCTGCTTCCCGTTCTTGAAATGGGCTTATTTCCCGGGAGGCATTGAGGTGCTCTCTCACACTCAGGAGAGCTGCTTGGCAGTTTACTGTGTGATTTTGAGGGATGCAGGATGGTACCTATGTGGCACCTTGGTGTGGATGCATGCACACTCTTTGAAAGCCCTATCCCTATGATTCTGAGATTTGCCCCAGACTGAAGGTCATTCAGCACCTCTTGGGTCCACATGCCCTTCCAGGTGCTAAAAGCAAAAGAGACCCTTCACTCAGTCAAAAATTTTCTTCCCTTCCACCTTAAGCTATAGGGGCTATAATACAGATCTGCTTAGGATTGGTAGTAAATTGCCTTCCATTTCTCCCTCAGCACCCATTGGTCCCTTATATGAAGCTGCATGGTAGAAACTGGAGCTTCCCAGGAGGCTGGCAGGGTCCTGGGATGTGGCTGTCCAACTATCTGTGCACCTAGGGCAGTGAGCTGAAAGCTAGTGCTCCTGGCCTCTGACCCCAGCATGAGCTACATGACCTGGACTTGCATCCTTTGTCCCCAGGTGACTGTACTGTTCCTGGCTGTCTGCAAATTTCTTCATGTCCCAGACTTATCTGGGAACATGCCACTCTTATCTGGGAACATGACCTAGGATGGCTCAGTTTTCCTAAGGCCTTGGACCACACTGTGCTAGCCTGCCCGGAGTCTCCAGTATAGCACACACAGCCTTCCAGGCTAGACCTTTTCATGCTTCAACCCATGCCAGTGTGGCCAGGTTGGGTTCCCTTGCACTTCCTTGATTGCATCTCTGATAAAGTAGGGGGGAAAATGCAGAAACAGCAGAATTTAAGGCTAAAGAGGCTGCTGTTAGCAAGAAAAGGGCTAGTCCTTCTCTTAGGCGCAGTATCTGAAGTGTCTGAAAGTCTCTTCCACTGGGGAAGCCATCACAGAACCTGTTGATGGAGTATCATCCTCTGGGATGAGGCAGCAGATGACATGACTTCTAATGGGCGTCTCACAGATGTTAATGGCCAAGCTCCAGGTGGTGGTACTACATTGCCCTCTGCTGGTTGTGTCAGGTAGAGTATGTTACCCACCCTATACGGATCTTTGTTGATCTGTCAATGGGGTGACATCCCTGACCTGACACGTGGACCAGTGCTCCATATGCAGGAAATGCTGGTTGAATAAATGCATCATGCTCTGACTGGATAAATACAATGACTACATTGTCGGTTTAGTTTGTATCCATCCAAAAGGAAGACACTTAGGCAAAATTAATATAAGTAGAGGCTTATTTGGGCTAAAGATGAAGATTGCAACTCGGGAGTATCGATTCAAGCGACTCTGAATTTACACGCCAATTAGGAGCAGTTACAGGTGGAATTTTAGAGGTAAAAATGGGGACAGGGAGTGGGCTGATACAAACTTGTTATTTGTCACAAACTCGATCGGCTATACATAGTTAAGCTATAGGGTGTGGGTTATATGGTGTCCAGCGTGGCATCATTAGGTTAATTTATAGCTACTTGTGGCAATAGTCAGCAGTTTCAACAAATGAATACAGAGCTTGAAAAGGGGGAGGAAGGCATGACTGCTGTCTCATATTAATTCCTCTCTGGGCCTAGTAAATTCCTCAGATGAAATTTTTTTGTTGTTGTTTTTTGTTTTTTTTTTTTTAGTTGGAGTCTCACTCTGTCGCCCAGACTGGAGTGCAGTGGCCACTCCTGGCCACCGCAGCCTCGACCTGCTGGGCTCCGGCGATCCTTCCGCCTCAGCCTTCCAAGTAGCCGGAATTACAGGCATGCGCTACCACGCCCGGCTGATTTTTTGATTTATTGTAGAGATGAGGTCTCGCTGCCCAGGCGGGTCTCGAACCTGTGGGCTTAGACAATCCACTCACCTCAGCCTCCCAAAGGCGCGGGATTACAGGCTTAGCCACCGAGCCCGGCTTCTCAGATGAAATTTTTTTTTTTCTTTCCTCATATGGCTACGGAGATGTCTGTGGATCTGACATCACAAGTGTCCTCAAACACAACTTACCTGAACTCCTCAAGATACTACCAAACACTTGGTCCCCTTGAAACTGATGCTGGGTAGGGTGCAGTGCAGAATTTTGGGATTCTTTGGTTCAACCTGCAAAGTATGCCGAGAAGGAAGAGATGAGCCACCAGTGGTTAAAAGGGTTTATTAAAGAAAAGAAAAGAAAAGAAGGTGGCAGGGGGTGGGGGGAGGGGCGGTAGCTGGCTCTATAGAGAGAAACCAGCAGCTTTGTTCACATGTAGTCCTCTTATATAACCCCAGTTGAGGTTAATTGGGCATTGGAGAAGCAGTTTAGGGAGTTTGAGCTGTCCATGGCCTGGCCTTGAGATGCAGATGTCGACACTGTTAGGGGCTTCTGGTCCCATGGCCTTCAAGTACAGATGTCCACACTAAGCTGTCTCTCTCAGGATGTTAATCACTTGTCTCTGAAATGCAGTCTTAGGAATGCAAACACTGACAGTCAGTGCCAAGATGTTATCAGCCACATAGCTCTGGGTGAGGGCCTCAGGAAAGCAGATATTGGCAGGAAAGCAATTAGTAACAGGATGAGTTGTTTTAACTACAATCTCTTCTCCCATCCCCCTACAAACCCTATCACAACCATAAAATGAATTTTAGATGGCCAGCAAAGTTTTAAAACAAAATTTTATTAGAGAAAGAACAGGAGAAAGAGAGACATACCAGAGCTAACTTTTTGCTTTTACAATAGGCCTGATATACCTTCTCAGTGATTGATATGCTAAAGAGGATGGCACCCAGGTAACCATCACTCCAGAGAGATTGACATCTCCCACTTCTGATGGAAGGAATGGGAGGTCTTTCCCAGGGAAACTTGCCAGACTTTTTCAATTCACACGTTTATGAGCTAAAAGGGATTTTATCATTTCTATGGCTCTTTGATTCCCAGTTCTGGAACTACCTTGATGGAGTTTTCCTTTGGTGAACTGAGGAGGTAGGGCGGACTGGAAGTTCACATTGAATTCACATTCCAGCATGGAGGGTGTTCGGCCTGCAGACAGGATATGTGGATGCTTTCCAAAACCTGCCTACAAGAAATTTATCTATGTCTAACTTGCATTAGCTACCCTGCCTCAAAACCACAGACATAACACTAATACTGGGCCACAGGATAAAAACTACAGAAGAGACTTGAGCCTTGCAAAGTTGCAGCTGTGCCCAGACATTTCAACAGAGAGCAATCATAATCTTCAAGTCTTGACCCCTGAAGGGAGGAAAGCTGCTCTTGATGTTGATAAGCATATTTTCTTTTTTTTTTTTTTTTTGAGTTGAAGTCTCACTCTGTCACCCAGACTGGAGTGCAGTGGCTCCTCCCGGCCACTGCAGCCTCAATCTGCTGGGCTCCGCAATCCTTCCGCCTCAGCCTTCCAAGTAGCTGGAACTATGGTCACGCGCTACCACACCAGGCTAATTTTTGATTTATGTAGAGATGAGGTCTCGCCAAGTTGCCCAGGCGGGACACGAACCCGCGGGCTCTGGCAGTCCACTCACCTCAGCCTCCCAAAGGCGCGGGATTACAGGCTGAGCCACCGAGCCCCACCTGCGGGTTCGAGACCCAACTGGGCAACTTGGCGATACCTCATCTCCACAATAAATCAAAATGAGCCGGGCGGTTGCAGCTACTTGGAAGGCTGAGGCGGAAGGATCGCCAGAGTCCAGCAGGTCGAGGCTACGGTGGCCGGGAGCGGCCACTACACTCCAGTCTGGGCGACAGAGTGAGACTACAATTAAAAAAAAAAAACCAAAAAAAAAAAAACCAATGAACCATCAGATCTCCTTAAAGCTTAATTGGCCAAAGGGCATAGGTAGCTTTGATTGCTAGGGATTCCCCCTCCAGCATCCATTGTTCACCAGACTTGTAACTTCCCTGATTGCCCTCATAAACAATATGAATCAGTTCCCCAACCAATCAGTAGTTACCTCCCTGCCTACCAAATTGCCTTTAAAAACCCTAGCGTCTGAACTGTTGGATTAGCTGATTTGAGAAATATTTCCTGTCCTCCGTATCCAACTGCTTTGAAATATTGAACTCTTTCTCTACTGTAACAGCTGCATCAGTCTTATTTTTTCTGGGCAGTGGGCATATGAAC